TATGTAGTTGAGACTGACCTGGAACTCACTATGTAGCCCAGGCTGGTCTCGAACTCACACAGATCCTCCTGCCTCAGCCTCCCTTGTGCTGGGATTACAGGCGTGTACCACCACGCCCGGCTCTGTTGTTCTTAACATTGCCCAGCAATCTTACTAATCTTCTCTGGGTAGCACCCCACTCCATGATTATTTCAAAACTTCTTTACTCTTCTAACTCCTAATCTCACTATCCACCTCTTGAACTTTAAGTCCTTGTCTTCTGCTTCACAAAAAATATAGAAGATATCATAAAGAAGTTCCTGCCACAAATACAGATGTAGCTTAATTCACATTAAAGTTTTCTTTTCCCTTCTGTACTCCCAGCTGTATCTGTTTACCTTGCTTGGCGTTCTCAGGAACCCTACACTGTCAGTTATTTTCCCCTCAATATTTCCCTTAATTGGATCCCTGTTATGATTGTTAATTGTGATATGTCAACTTGACTTGTGTAAGAACCGTCTAGTAGATTAGTAATGTTTTAGATGTGCCTGTGGATAAATGACATGCAGATCAGCAAACTGAAGGGGGGAAGACTCACCCTTGATGTTGGCGACACCAACCAACAGGCTTGTAGCATGGACAGAAAGGGAGAGAAGGAAGCCTGCCCTTATTTTGGAGGAATTCTAGAAGCCATTGCCTTTGGACTTTGACCTACACTTTCTTCAACCTTCCAGCACAAACTCTTTAGCCTCTGACAGTGAACTCACACCAGTAAGCTTACAGTGAGATTCCAGATTTTGAACCTTCAGCTGCTACTGAGTCCTCTGGTTTCTAGGGTGCAGATGGTTATTTTATAGTCTTCTACCTCTGATTCTTCCACTTTTGATCCTGTATGCTTACCTAATAAATCACTTCACATAATTATACACATATTTTATATTGACTCTGTTCCTTTACAGAACCCTGATGTACCTGCTCTTGGCACTTACTCGTGCTCAGATCTTTCCCAAACAAAAACAGAAACAGCTTTCAATTCACTTTCTCTTCCAGGTACTTCCCTCTCTCTCCATATATGGATGGTCCATATGTGGATGCACCAGCATATTCAAACTGTCTTCTTCATAGCTAGGTTGCTGGCATTGTTTAAAAACCATCAAATAAATGTTGAGATGAAATTTTGTGTTTGTATAGGTATATGCACTGGCTGGATTCCAAGAAATAGGATCACCACGTTAAAAGTAATAATCTCAGCACTCCAGGAGATGGAGGCAGAAGGGCTGATTGCCAATTTGAGCTTGGCCTGGGCAATTCAGTGACTTAAAATGACCTTGCCTCAAAAATAAAAATTAATTAGAAAAGGGATGTAGCTCAATGCAAAAGCTCTGGTTTTAATCCCCAGTACTTGGAGGGGAAAAAAAAGATGAATGTTTCCACAATTTTGACAACAGAATTATCTTATCAAACTTTGGAAATTTTTGATAGATGAATGTTATCAACATTCCTTTTATTATGATGGAGATTTTTTTACCTGAGCTTTTTACTTGAGTTTAAAGGATGCATTACTCTTTTTTGTGGTCTTTCTATTAATGCCCTTGGCCCATTTTCTATTGGGTTGTTGATCTCTTTTCTTTTAATATCGAGAGTCCATTATATAGCAGGGAGATTACAAGAAGTTAGCTTTTTCTTATTCCATTATAAAGCACTGCTTTAAAAAGGGCTAATTTAAGTCATTTGTGCTCCTTTGGTCTTTGATAAAAGGAATTCCCTGTTACAATTTTTTCCCCCAGTACTGGGGATAGAACTCAAGGCCCTGTGCTTGAGAGGCAGGTGGCAGAACCACTGAGCTAAATTCCCAGCCCTAAAATTTGCTTTTGACTTAAGAGTAATATGCTCATCACAGAAATACTGGGAGAAAATTTAAAACAACACCCAGTCACTTGACCTTTTCCAATTGCCTAAAATAAAAAGGAGGTAAGTTCTTGTCACACCCCACCTCCCAGGGGATATCAATAAATACCTGTAGTTTGTAAAATAACCCCCCCCAGCATTTCTCCCCATTAGCCAGCCCTACTGAAATTTATGTGATGGAAAATATTTTAAATGCAAAACTGTCATCATATTTAGGGACTGAGATCTATGTAAACCTCATATCCAGGCATTCTGTTCATTTTAGAACAAGACTTTCTGAGAGGACTGGGAAACATAAATGGTCAGATCATTTTGAAGCACCTCAAAATATCAGATTAGGGCACTGATGCATCCTCTTTGCCTCTTAAATTAAGCTCTTGGTTAAAAATACTTTAACATCATTTAGTAGGACACTAACAAAAACATCAACAACAACAACAACAAAACTCAAACACGCTGATAATTTAAGTTTGAATTTATGTTTGGAAATAAAAATGCAAATTAAAAAACTTTTATAAAATTGTCACACAAACCCACCTTAGGGTATCATTACATGCTACATTTAGAAAAAATTAATAGATCTTATCAAAACAAATAGTTGTCAATTATAAATGTCAGTTCCTTTCTTTCAGCCAAAAGAAAGTTCACGTGAAACATCAGACTGAAAGTTGGTGGAGCACGTGGGTGCAGTCAGCAATGCTGAACACCCACACGAGTGAGGAAGCTTGGCGCCTGGCCTCCCTGGCTGGGGCTGAGCACTGGCCTGCAGTTTCTCCACATGCACAAGAGAGGTTCTGATTGGTTGCTTCAAAACGCTTATGTGCTGTGATCCTTTCATTTCAGGTAACAGTATGAAATGTTACCACTATTTTCCCACTGAATGTAAACTTCAACAGAAAGTAGCATGCTTACAAATTATTCCACAATAAATATTACAATCTTTGTGACTCTTCAGAAAAGCTCCATTTTAGAAGTTTCTCTCTTGGTTCACTTTCTTGTGTGCCCTGGCAGTATCTTCCATACACACACTGTATGCGCCTGAAGGAATCATTAGGCATCAACTTCTCTGAAGTGGCACCTATAGCTCTGCCTAGTTTGGAAAGAGCCACATCTCTGCTCAGGCTCAAACAGTCTTCTCACAAATTACAGCTTGTCCAGCTGATCCATTTATTGTTTTCTTTTTTTTTTCACTGTTTCTTATGCAGATGATATTTTAGAATGTTCCTGTAGAATTTCTTCTCATTATTATCCTAGTTAGTAATAGCGTGAGGTTTTTACATAGTGGATCTTCAGATATTCTGCTGGTGTGTAAATTTCATCTGACTTGCATAAGAACAAATGAGAAGAAACATGCTGGTGGATCTTAGCACCTTACAGTTATGATTCTGTCTCTCCACTAAAATTGCATGTCCACTAAAACAACCAGTTCAGTTTACTTTCTCTGAAATATTTTCTTTCCTTGTCAATAGTAAACATGATTATTTTTACAAGAAACACATTCTCAGAACAAACATCACGAAAACCACGAGCTATAAGTAATTTTAAAATGCACCTGATTCCTTTTCATACATCAGTTCTAAAATAAAGCTTCAAACTTTTGACCATGCCCACGGATCCTCAAGGTCTATGATACATTACTCCACATCATTTCTACAGTACGACAAAAACTAGAATGTACACAGTCTTAAGTGTGTAGGGGGAATATCACTAAAATTCATTACCGCAAAGTTTAACTTCCTCATAATTAGTTGAAAATTCACAGCATATCACCACAAAATGTTGCTAATTATGAATGATGTAAAATTACAATAATTTCTTTTCATAAGATTATACCAATATCCATATTTATTTATTCCTAATAAATTCAATTTCAACTACCTGATTTTAAGATCGAGGTAGCTGCATTGTAGTTCCTTTGCAGGGCAAATGGCAAGATTCAAAGTATCATCTGAAGTATTCAATTAGACAAGGAAATACAGTATCATTTATATTGTTTCCTCATTTGGCATACAAACTTTAAAAAAGTCAACCATTTTTCAGTGATAAAAATAAAGTTCTTTTGTGAGCATGGACACAATACATGGAATTTGTTTCTTTGCATGAAAGGTGGAGTCATAGGAAAAGGACTCAAATTCTGTTGCTACCTTCCGGTTAACCCGAGTAAGAATGTGCATAAACTCAAGCTTATGTGCATACAATTTCAGCATAGCACAAAGTGACTGAATGAACCAGGATCCATCCTTTGAATTTCGCCAGGAATAGTAACCTACAAGGAAAAATATAGCCAAATACCAATGATATCTGATTTTAGCTGATTCTACAAATTAGTACATAACTGAAACTATAATATAAGCATAAAGTCCCACAGCTCTTATTAGTCATAAAAAGAAAAAAATGACACCTTTGGTTTCAGAAAAAATGATGCTAGAGGGGGGAAAAATGTATTGGGCATACACTTCTGCTTTGAGCGAGGAAAGAGAATTATGGACTACTGAATTATTGAAAATGTTACTCTCTAGGCTCCCCTTCTCACAGGAAGAACAAGTTAAACATGCCCAAAATCAGAAGATGAAAAAGCAAAGATATAGAAAATGGACCATTATAAAAGCTACATTGAGTTTCAATCAGATTTCAGCTTATTTTATTTTTTGAGATGGAGTTTAATCACTATGTAGCCCAAGCTGGCCTCAAACTTGTGGCATTCCACCTGCCTCAGCCTCCAAAGTGCTGGGATTACAGGCGTGCACCACCATGCCCAGTGGATATCATCTTATTTTAATATTAGATAAGAAATAAATTGCTTATGTATGCCTACACATTTAAGAACATGACTAGTTTATCTATAGGGATCTGAATCAAGTACAATAAACAGAAAATCCAAAAAGGCAAAATTATATATGGTATTCTTTTGCTATGAACTACTACACCCATTGCATTTAACTTAGAAGTGCTTTGCCTAAAAAGGTACTTGGAGAAAAAAGAATTATATTGAACACATTTAAAAATGTTAACAACTGCTTAAAAATACTTTTATGATGTTCCCAAACTCTTGATACCCCAAGGTAGTTTATAAGTAAACAGGTACATAATCAACAGTTACTTATATGAGGATGTCGGGAACACAATCACAAAAAAGTAAAGGTTAGGAGCATATTCTGATAATACTTTGACCTTCTCTATTTTCTCCTCCTTCTACCTTCTCTCAGTAATATTTACCTTAATTCCCATCTTCCAAAAAATTCACAGAAAACACGCACCAGTCCCTTCGTATTCTCGGGGTACTTCCAGTCTCCAGTGGGTGCCTGAACCTTCAACATACTGCATTTTTTCCAATGTACCCCTTACTCACAGGTTCACATCTTTTGCTCACAAACTCAATGCCCTTTCCATCCTCACTAAGCATATTCACCCTTTATTGTGACCATAACTTCTGCAGTTTGATGTATGACAAAACTAGCATGAATTTCTTTTAGCTTCTTCTTCATCATTTCATGGACTCATTCTTTTTATATATCTTATAAACCTCAGCGTATGATTTGTTTTCTCTCCTTATGAAGTCAAGAATTTTTATCTTTTCACTTAAAAAAGTACTTTACAGCTTCTCTTTGGCACTTCTGAATTGCCACAGTACTGCTTGAACCTGAACACAAGCACTGTGACTGTTGGTGATCAATCTGATAACCGAGAGGGCCAAGGACATGAGAATACCAAAGGGACGATTCATGTCCCAGGATGGATAGACTGAGATTTCATCACACTATTCAGAAGGTCAAACAACTTAAAATGTATGAACTGTTAACTTCTAGAATTTTGAATTGAATATTTTCAGACCACAGTTGACTGACTGAAAATGCAAAGAATAAACCGTAGAAAAGACAGTGGGAGACCTAATGTATCTGTTTCTTTCTAACAAGTTGGGTGAAGCTCTGACTTCTGTTGCCATATAGTATAACTCTGGTACACAGGTCATTGTGAGTCTATAACCTTTTGCAATTTCTCTGTGGCTATGTTGCCTTAAAATATAGACAAGTTATGAGCCGGGCATGGTGGCACACACCTGTAATACCAGCACTCGGGAGGCTGAAGCAGGAGGATCACTGTGAGTTCAAGACTAGCCTGGACTACACAGCGAGTTCCAGGTCAGTCTCATCTACAGTGAGACCCTGTCTCAAAAACAAACAAAACAAAATATAGACAAGTTAAACATTTTTTAGGGATATCAAAATCTTAGTCTCTGAAACACACTTGGTTGTTTAGTTCTACAATCAGTCATAGCATAATTCTTTTATAATCTATATATAACATACATTATCTGTCATCTTCTTACCTGGTGCTGTGGAATATGCATACAAGAAGTCAGCCTCTACTGGTATTTTCTGGCATGCCATGTCATCATCAATACCACTGTCTGTCTCAATGCCACAGTCCAGTTCTGTACCCCGGCAGGCCTGTGAGAAAACAAACATTATGTAAAAAATATGTGTGTGCACACATAACTTATATCTAGGAAACATAAAGGCTATGTGAAAACTGATGTTAATTATAATGAGTCTAATATAATCTCAAAATTGAAATGTACTCCCTATTTTCTAAGCGTAGTCTGAATGCATAAAAAAGTAATAGTAGTTCTGTAGCCCCAGGAAAAAAAAAAACATCATTTTAATTAACAGTTGAATAAATTATTCTCTGATTAATCCTCAATAACCAAGGTGCTCAATTATTCATTACCTGAATAATGAAAAGTTTGGGTTTTCCAGCTAGACTTCTACAAAGATCCCCTTTGAAGAACTTTGTTAATATTTTCAGGTCAACAGGTCCATTTGTTCCAAAAATTATTCCTTCTTCACCATGGCTTAGAATTACACAAATAAAGCTGCTCCTTTTGCTATGATCTTCTTTAGAAGCTAGAAAGATATTTACAAATAAGAAAAAAAAAGGGAGTCTTTGCAACTTTACAACAGATATACTGTGTAAGATGAATTGAGAAAAGAACTACAATATCATCTAAACTTAATTTGGGACAAAGTCACATACCTAAAAACATTTTAGGTTCTGATATAAATAAAATCTTTTGCTTCTTACCAAAATACGTATGATCAGAATTATATGCAGTATAATTTCACAATTCTCTTATTTTTTTTTAATATGTAAGATTACAGATAATATAAAATTGGTCAATGAAGGTCATTCTTTTAATTACTTCTTACCATTGCACATCAATTCCACAATTTCTTCACGTGTAAGATCATTTTTATTCCTTACTTCATATTTCAAGTTCATAAAGGTTTCTCTGAGATTTGCTGCATCTACATCTGTACCAGACCGAGCGGACATTCCTTGGAAACAAAACAAAAAGGACAAAAGAATTACTTTTAACTGTGTTTTAAAAGAATAACTGCTTTGAGATAAAATGAATTATGCAGCAATTCACAAAATCAATTAATTCTTCCTTTTTAATGCTCAGGCTAATGATTTTGATCATAGTGACACAAAGCCTCTCCAGTCTCTGAGCATATGACACTTCATAGTTGTCCCAGTGTGACATAGTTGTCCCAGTGCAATTGCTACGGGGATATCTTTCACAGCTGCTCAAATGCCAAAAACCAGAAAATGACTTTATGTACCAAATAGTAGGGGACAAGTAAATTACAATTCATTTGTGCAGTGGACTACTATGTTGCAATGGGGGGGGGTACCAGGGATTGAACTTGGGTCCTTGCACTTGCAAGGCAGGCCACCGAACCGCTGGGCTAAATCCCTGGCTAATGTTGCAATTTTTTTTAGATAAAGCTTTTCCTGGGGAAAAATAAAAGTCCTACTTTTACTTAAGAAAAAATAATATATATACCGGGACTGTATTTGATTCTAAGTTCCCAATGACTTTAAGATGCATTACTATTTTCATGTCATTTCAGGAAAAACAAAAAGCACCAAACACTACCATATCAATACTATGCATCAGGCATAGTACTATAGGTAACCTCTTTTAATCCTTCTAACCAACTTGAGGTAGTAATTATTACTAGCTTCATTTGTACAGATGTGGAAACATGTAGCACAGACAGTGGAGAAACTTGTCCAGGACTGGAGGCATAGCTCAGAGTTAAGAGTATGTGCTAAATGTAAGAGAAAGACTCTGGATTCAATACCCAGCATGTGCGCGCACACACACACACACACACAAACAGAAACAAAAACAGAAAAAGAGAAAGAAAAGAAGAAAAGAAGCAACAAAGCTATATTAGGCCTGTACGTAGGAGTCTTGGGCTTTTTATCACTCCTTTATAGGTCTTCCACATCATTGTAGACTGATTGTATGATGTATATGCAGTTTTTAAAATTGATGACACTGAGATTGGGTAAATTTAATATGTGTGAAGACTAAATACAAAACTTTTAAGCATCAATACTTCTTAAACATTGTTGATTCACCTCTTTGGGGAGTATGATTATGAATAATTTTCATTTTTTCTTTTTGTTAATCTGTAGTACCCCAAATTTCTATTAGACATATAAAATTATAATAAGCTCATCAAGGTTTTGACATTGAAAAGCTGAGGTCACTATGCAGCTGTGTGACAAAGTGATTGATTTCTGATGCTGGCTTCTGAGCCACTTTGCAGAATAGAAAATACTGCCAATCTTTACATTTCAAACCAGAAAAGGGGCTCACTCTAAGGCAAAAGTTAGACAGACAGGTGGCCTATGTATTTATATGGGGGGAGGTGTAGAATGATATACTTCGAAAAAAGAAAAGAAAAAGAATAGATTGAACAATGTAGAATTCTATAGGAAGAAGGCATCATCATTAGCAAAATGGGGCAGAATATCTGTAAGTAAAATTTTTTGTACTTTTCAGACAGGGCCTTGCTGTACAGTTCAGGATGGCCTTGAACTCACAGCATTCCTCCTGCCTTAGCCTTTTGAGTGCTGGGATTACAGGCCTCCTCCACCAAGCCCAGCAAATTTTAAACTTCATAAAGTGAAAGGAACAAAATATTTTGCTTTTTATTTAATGATTGAAGTTAGTAACTTGACTTATAGCCAAAAGCAATAAAATAGCGCTATTCAAATTTAGAAATTCATTTTCAATTATTCTCTATGTATTTTTCTTAACTGATCTACTTCTAAATCCTGTGGCTTCCTTCAATTCTTGCCACCACTCTGGTCTTTTATATTAAACTGACTTATTTAGTTTTTATAATTAAAAATTAATTCTAATATGATTAATATACCAATTCAAAGAATTTTCACAACATCATCTGAAATATGAATAACAAGAAAACAGCCAAAAAGTTCATTTATATGGTAAATTATACAAATTAAACGAATATTGTGTGAGATGCAGTAACATATAACCACCAAAATAACAGGAAAATTATACAGCAACACAAAACTGCTTATATTACATTAAAGGGAACAAGTAGAATACAATTTTTTTCTCAGAGAAGGAATAAAATCAATCTTTCCCAAAAAAACTACCAAGGAAAACAACAAATAATATACCTAAATGCTAATTAGGTTTTTGGGATCATGAAGGAGTTCATTTTCTATATTCTGTAAGAAAATTCTAAAATTAGTAGATTCAAATTATATGCAGTGCACCAAGAATGGGATTTGGTGATCATGTCACGGTGAACTTAGAGAGAGCAGCTTCAGTGGTAGAGGTAGAAAGCAGAGGAAGAAGGTTAAAAAGAAAGTGAAAGAGGACAAGATGGCAAGCTTAAACTTCTTGTATTCAAAGTTTAAGGAAGAAGGGAAAGAAATAAACACCAGAGCATAAGAGGAAGCAGAGTAAACTAAAGGTCTCTGTAATATGGGGAACAGAGCAGATGAAGACATAAAGTAAAGCACAACAGAGCTCAGCCTTTGGAGTCAGTCAGACCAAGGCCCAGACCCCAGCTCTGCTACTGTACTACCTATGCCTAAGGTTTTTAGCCTTCTAGAATCTAACAGCAGCTTCTCAGGTTTGTTGTAAAAATAAATGAGACAGTATCTGTAATGTACCTTGCAGGTTCTGGAAAGAAATACTACCTCTTAATATTTTTTGAGAACTTTTTATTGGTCTAAAAGAGGGAGCAGGTGGATAAAGAAGCAAGGATTACAGATAAGCAAGGGCAGAAGAAGACAAGCACACAGATAAGAGGCCAGCTGCCCCAAGAGGGAGAGATTCTGCACACAGGTAGAAAAGTTAAAAGTTCGTACCGTATTACAGGACCTGTAGGGTCTTGCCTTGTTTCTACCTTGATGTGATGCACCACAGTTTACTGACTAGTAATACATCAATATTCCTTTCTATATCATATCAAATATGAATGGCACTAATATTTTGAAAAACATTAAAATTATGGAAGATACATACCAGTGCTTCTATGGAAGTTCTTATTATTAATTATTATACATAAACCCATTTCAGGATAATCCATTTTGTATTTATTATCCAAGGATATTCCGGAGTCCATCGATTTGCTTCCATGTATGATCTTTCTGTTTGGAAATCAGACACTTTAAAAAGGAAGAAGTGACCAATCCACTAATACAACTTTTATGACTCACAAGAACAGCTAACATTTGTTTAAGGCTATTACAAAACTTTTTGCTACAGGATCTTCCTCATTTTACTACTAACCATTTTACAGATACAAAAATGACCCACCAAGGCTAAGAGATGTGTTGAAGGGCATGCAGACGGTACATCAGAGCCAAGGGGAAGGAAACCCTTTACTGGACTTCAGAGTTTTGGGCTTTAACATTATGCTCCTTATTCCCCTTTACACTTTATCAAATACATTTTATAATTTAAAAACTTCTTGTAACCTTGGAAAATAGTTTAGACTTCAAGGTAAGAGTAAAACCTTTAGAATAACTGGGTCTTCTAGTCTCTGCTGCGGGTACTCAATTCTACCGGTGAAACTAGCTAGGAACAATACGTGAATGAATTAAATATGGCTCTGTTCCAGTAAAACTTGACAAAAACAGGCCATAGGCCTGATCCATGATTTATCAGGAATCTGAGAAATAACTGGTCTAGGAACAGCCAAACACTAATATCTTAAGTCTACATATTCATATACTTAGAAAATTTTGTATTTTATCCAATTCTAAAAATATTGTGATTAAAAGTTGTATTTAGCTGGGCGTGGTGGCACATGCCTGTAATCCCAGCACTCAGGAGGCTGAGGCAGGAGGATTGCTGAGAGACCAGCCTGGGCTACATAGTGAGTTCAGGTCAGTCTCAATTACATAGTGAGACCCTGTCTCAAAAAAAAAAAAAAGAAAGTAGTAATTAAAGGAGTCTAGGTCAGAAAAGAACTATTATCTTTACAAAGGTAAAGAGCCTCAGGCCCATACTCCCATTTTGTGAAAAAACCCTAAGAACCAAATGACTTAACCTTTAGGTCATAAGATACAAATTAACTGTATTAAAAAATCTAAAATGCTCCAAAGTCTAAAACTTTTTGAAAGCCTACAAACTGCTATACATGGAAAATTTCACATGTGAGCTCATGTGACGGGTCAGTCTTTTCACCTAAGGGACACTCAACCTGCAACAGACCCTCTCCCGATGCCCATTCCCCACTTCCTTCTTAGGCCTAAGTTCTCTACTAGCATACGATAGCTGGACCAAGAAGTGATACTCCTTAACAAACAGCAGAGACTTAAAAAGCTTGAGAACATGAGAGCAACGTATCACAGGAGCAAAACAACCCTAGACTTCTTTGGGATTTCCAATGCAATTCACTATATATATGATATTCTGTAAAAAAAAAGATGATAGGGTTTAAAAAACAACACGACTTTGGAAAATGGTGGTTGTATTTCAAATTCCTTTGCTAAACAAACAGGCTAAATTATTAGTAGGGACTTGTTCATAGCATTGCTATGATACAAATTTTTTTTCCCCCCAGTACCAGAGATTGAACTCAGGTCCTTGTGCTTTCAAGGCAGGCGGTAGAACCACTGAGCTAAATACCCAGCCCAACAATTGTTAGCTTGTAATTCCCAGAGTGTTTCAGAATAATAATACTAGGTCTCAGAAATAAACTTTTAGAATTTAAAAAACTTTTAAAATTGACAGATAATAATTGGAAGCATTAATAAGCAGACTATATTAAAAAAGAAAATAAATAAATACATAAGAAAAAAGACAAAGGATAAAAGATAACCCATAACCAGGCAATTCTCCGGGTGAAAACCGGCATTGCATTTTAGTCTGAAAACCTATGAACAACAGGTCAAAAAACTCCGCCTAATACAAAACCTATACTCCTGTACAATCATTTGGGAAGACACACCACAGCCTAGAGGCAAGTCCTACCTCTCTGGTGGAATCCTTCTTATTCTAGGGCTGAGTCAAACACTGTCCTAGATCTTTCCCTTCATCCTCCCCAAAGATCTGTCAAAGTTTTACTATCTTCATTTTAAAGACTAGATGCAGTGAACTTAAGTTACGACGGAAAGCCACACAGCTTTCTGAGTTGGGAAGACAACTTGGTCTCTGGCTAGAAAGCCTATCTGTCCCCCACTCCTACTGTATCATACATCCCCATCTTTTTTTGACTATTAAGGATTCCATTTAAATACTCACGTTTCTAAATCTTTAATGGATTTTGCATCCACTGAGTTTTCAGTGCTCTCCATGGCTATTTTTCTTAACTAGGATATAAAAAAAGGAAGTTACTAAAAAATCAGTCATATAAAACCACCACTGCATATTAGTGATTCCAGTTATTATTTCTCCAAATCCCCTTGTTTTATCTTTTACTGTTAAAGGTCTGTGAGTCACACCTGGGAGAATAGTCCTTTGTCATGTAGGCTTTCTGTCTCTGTCTCTCTGGCCCCCTTCCCTCCCTCTTTGTTTCTTGCCCATCAATTATATATAATGAATTACATCAAGTACAGATACAACTTGATGAATTTTTCCATTATGTCCCCTTGTCACACAAGAAAGAGATTGCAGCTTGTTTTATTTATTACCCATCTAATCAGCTCATTTGTAGGAACTCAGCTTCCAACTCAACAGTTAAAACAAAATCAAAACTTACACAAGGCTATGCCTCACATAATATTATTCTACAATGCTTGGATTCCCAAGACATACGTTATTAAGATGTTCCAAACCTCTATTTAAACCTTATCCTTAAATTGGGTTTCAGAATCCCAACTTCTCACTTAGGGTGGTTGAATAGCTAGAAGACTTACGAGTAAAAACTAAAATTTCTGCTTTCATTATTCCAACAGGTACGTTTCATACAGTTAACAAGTCTTTATCTCCAAAGCAACCACTTACTGAACACTTATGACACATCAGGTACTTTGCTAGGCAGCTCATCTTTATTCTCAGTAACTCGAAAAGCCAGGAAACCTAACTTTTAGTGACCGACTACATTCACTTCCACACTCTCATACCCTGCCTGAGGAAGCCAACCCCTACTACTTGACTTTTGAGTTCTAGGTATTCTCCAGCTTCCCAGAAGCAAAGGTACTTGTAATGGTAACCTCCCTCCTTAAACGGGGATAAAAAGGACAAAAATAAAACAACAACAACAAAAAATAAGGACAAAAAGCCTTGAACAAATTTCTCCAGACTCTAGAAGCTCTGGCTCTGTAAAAATTTCAATCAAAATACAACTTTAACCTTACTCTTAGGCTAAAATCAGAAATACTGTAGGAATATACCATCCTACTAACAACACACCCATAAAATACTTTCTAGAAAATCCTAGGCAATCTCCTCTAATTTTTTAATTTTTAAATTTGTGGTACAATATACATAACATTTATTATTTTGGCCTTTTGAGCATAGAGTTCAGTGGCATAAAGCAGTCACACTATTGTACAGCCACCACCACCACCATCCTCTCCAGACTTTGTCTTCCCGAGACTCTGTGTGTGTCAAGGTCCCGCACTCAAGGTCTCTTGGAAAGCATGCTTCCTTCCCTGCTTCAAAGCTAAGCCTCTTCCTCGCCTCACACCAGTTCTGTTCACACATATGGTGGAGAAAGAGTACAGAAGAGGAAGCGTCACCCATTACAATTTAACCACAGAAGAGGGTAGTGTTTTACTTTCTTCCAAAGCCAGTCTAATTTTTTGCATTTCTACAAAAGCTCTTTGCTTTCTATCATCTTACTTCCTATAGCCTTTCTAGAAAACCACAGGTGAATGTAAACACAACTGGGATAAATAACTGGGATCGTCAGCAAATACTTAGTGAACACATACTTGGTACCAGGTATCATTCCAGGCACTTCAACAGTGAAAGACAAGACAAAGCTCCCACCTTCAAGAAGCTTTCATTCTGGAGAGGAAGCCTATACATTTATAAAAAGATTTCACACTGGGAGGGGGTATGACCACAGCAAAACAGAGTAAACTAATGCACAGAGAGCTACATTAGCTAAGGTGGTCAGGGAAGAGACCTAAATGACATACAGGATGCCATTATAAGGTGTCTGTGCTGGCAGGACCAGCAAGTAAAATGGAATGATGAATTTGTTGTATTCATGGTGCACAGAGAGTAGTCTGATTAGTGCACGGTAAAAGAGGGAAGGAGTGAATGGAGACGATACAGGAAAGGCAAGATCACCTAAGAGGCACTTGTCTAGTCAAGAGATGATGATAGCTGGTACAGAACAGAACAATGGATAAAGGTAGTTAGGAGTCTAGAACTTGATGGAAAAATCAGAGGTGGAGACAAACTAGGCATCCTGCTTGTATTTTATTTTATTAACTTTATTTTTTGATACTGGGGATAAAAGCCTTGACACTGAGCTACATCCCCAGCCCTGTCAATTTTTTAATTTTGAGATGGGCTTACTAGGTCACTAAGTTGCCCAGTTTGGACTGAACTTTTGTCTTCCTGACTTGGCCTCCCAGAGTGTAGGTTTACAGCTGTGTGCCACCATGCTCGGCTTGCACCCTGTTATCTAGAGGTTTAGTAGAGGAAGTAAAGCCAGAAAGATACTAAAGCAAGGTGAAAGAAGACGAATGTGGTGTACCAAAGCACACAGAGCCACTATTCAACCTTTTCGAGTTTTGCTAAAAGATTAATTTAGATGAGGACAGAAAAATCACTGGTGTGGTCAGGAATGTCATCAGTATTATGGGGACTAACAGAAAAAAAATCCAATATTGAAAGTGGGCAAAAGAAATTAAACTAGACTCTGGGGGCTCACAGAATTCTATAGCAAGGTGTCCTTCTCTTCCTTTTTTTTTTTTTTTTTTTTTTTTTTGTGGTACTAGCAGTTGAATCTAGCAGTTCAGTCCTACCACTGAGCTACATCCTCACCCAGCCTTTTTCACTCTGAAACTAAGTCTCATTAAATTGCCCAGGCTGGCCTGAACTTGAGATCCTCAGTCTTCTGACTGGCAGGGATTATAGGAATGTACCATGGTGCCTGGCTAATACTCTGTTGACTTACCTCCTGACTTGGCTATTTTATAACTCTGTAGGAAATTAAGCCATGTAAATTAGTATGCAAATGACTCTTATCTATAGCAGTGAAAATGAATTTGGGGGAGTTTGAGACAGGGTCTCACTATGTAGTTGACACTGACATGGAACTCACTGTGTAGCCCATGAACTCACAGCAATCCTCCTGCCTCAGCCTCCCGAGTGCTGCGATTACAGGCGAGCGCCACCATGCCCAGCAAAAATGAACTTTTGTCTTGTAATGATGCAATGGATGTCTACCCTAAAAACTGGCTCTTCCAAATTACATTTATTGCCCTAAGGATAGAAATCAGCTTTGTATCTATCAAAAATTTCTTTTCATCATCCTCAATTCTTCAAATTCTCCTTTGAATTGGTCTTACCTTACCAGTTTCACTATTTTTTTCTTCTTTTTCTTTGCAGTACTGGGAATTGAAATCAGGACCTTGTACTTGCAAGGCAGGCATGGCACCACCGAGCTAAATACCCAACCCTACTAGTTCCATTATTAATTGATTGACTGAATAAAAATCTTTAAAATACATTTATTTTATATTTGCACAACAGCCAAGTTTTTTATTTTTTGAAACAAAAAGGAGACAGGGGACAGTAGCCAGAAAGGTACAAAGGGTAGAGGATGCTTCTTACTTCAATTTGTCAAAGACTTAGGCTGGTGAGAATGACCTCACCCAAAGTGTGAAATTCCTAAGGAAGAAAGAGTGAGGTTCTAGGATAAAAGATGTAATGCCTCTCCCTACATACGGAAAAACATTAAGCTCAGGTAAGAACAGAGCCAGCTCATCCAGCATAATGGGAAGGAATACAAAATATTTTAACATAACATGAAAAGGTTGGTGAATGTGACGGGAGGATGAGGTACTTCTCATATGACTACATCTATTCCCCTACAGTTAGAAGATAAACTATGAGACAAGAATCCCAAAATATCTTTCATTTACAGTTCCATGTATACTTATATAAATATTTTATCAATACCAAAAACTAATCATGCACAATGATACGTGACATAGGCATTCTCAAACACCATCAGAAGGGTCAGATCACTTGAGAATATTTTGACATGTCCTCTTATTCCCTAATAACAATCGAAGCTTGATATAGTAAGATTATATTACTAAGAATGCAATCTATGGAAATAACCCTGGGGGTGGAGAAACTCAGGAAAGAATATGCACTACTTATTAAAAAACTGAGAATCTGAGAACAGAGAAATAGTTAAGTTATAGTATATAACCATTCAATGGTGAATGCAGCTACTCAATTTTTCTTTTGTTTTTTCAATTTTTCCTAAAGAACTTATGACATGGGGAATGCTCATAATATAAAACTAAGTAAAAATAGTCTTAATTAAATATACATTAGAAAAAGAGCAAAAGTGCTTATGCAAATCATTACATATTAACATATTTGGCTATTTCTGGGTGATAGGATTATTGACAACTTATTTACTAAATATCCTTCTGTATCTTCTTTTTGCAAAAAAATTTTAAGGCTAGAAAATAGTAACATTATTTTATAACAGTATCAAAAATGACAGAATGCATCAACCAAGATTGTGTTCACAATTTCAACTCTCAATTCTTGCTTCAAGAGTGACAAAAATAAGGATATTTTATTATTTTGAAAGTAGTCATTCTTCCTTTCCTTTAGCATGTTCTAATCTACCTGCCCCCCCTTTTTTTTTCATATAGACAATAAACATGTATTGGGCACAAGGAAATTTCAAATTTCCATGAAACGTAAGTGCCAGGGGACCAACTTGTCCTCGCATGTGTCAATTCAAAGTACAAAAGGCACAAACCAAAATAATTACCCATCTGTGGCTGAGAAATAAGGTGTGATTAACCTGATTAATAAAAAACAGTACAGGGTGCTTAACAAGCCTAGAAACAGGTCAATGCATCACAAATGACTCATTGATTTTTAAAAAATAGGGAAGAAATAATTTCATAAAGTGAACCTAGAGGTCCTTTCTGGATCCAAGGTTTGCCTCAAATTGGCCCTTTAAATGAACTGTCCCAAAGAGGTTTCACAGTGTTTGGGAACCCCTAAGCGCTGATCAGTTTCAACTAACAATCAAGGTCCTAAAGATCTCATTCCTAAAACTTCTAAACAGTGTGGTAATGTTTACACTAGAATTTTGACTTGAATTTAAAATTTTTGTCTCTTGTCTGCTATTAAGCAGACTGGTTATAAAAGCTTTAAATAGTGATCAGCTTTTCAGAGATCCAAAATACTTGCAGATTTGCTTGTTGACTTGGACCAATGTAAGATTTTACCTAAATAGTAGGGTGTGTGTGTGTGTGTGTGTGTGTGTGTTTGTGACAAATACAGAGGAGGGGGAGGAGAGTGGGGGGGATCAAATTGAATACAAGGACTTCACACTAAGTTACATTCCCAGATTTTTAAATTTTTTATTTTGGGATGGGATTTTGCTACTAATTTGCTAAGTTACCCAGGCAATGCTGAAACTTGCAATCCTTCTGCTCTAGTCTCCTAGAGGACTGGAATTATAGGCTTGTGCCATAATGCCAAGCTAGTAGTAATTTACTTTTCATATATTAAACCAACTTTCTCTAACCAATTATTGAAAGTGAGAAAATTTTTCAGACAGATCAGTCTTACTATGTAAGTAATTACAATTCAATCATTTCTGATATTAGACATGAGTGACAAATTTCTTACTTAGTAAAAGTTGGTGGCTAAAGCAAACATGAATTTTTCTAGGAGTTAAATGGTATCTTACTATGAAACTAATACTATTTAGTTTCCTTCATTATTAATATAATATATATCATTTATATTAATATAATAGCTATCATTTCAGGTATCAGGTGATCTTGATATACTACTAAAATTTTCTGATAATAAATGAAATCTTTAAAGCATGAGACATGTATACATTTGTTCTCTGTCATCATCTACTTTTTCCACATTATGTAGTAAATTCACTCTTGGGAGATGAGCTTTGCTTCCTCAGAACTGACTAAAGTGTTACACAGCATTACCTCATCTCTGTTAGCTAATGCCTGGCTGCATATAAATTATTCTGGAGAGGGTGATCTCATCTTAGAAGGATAAAAAATGTCCTAGGGAAGTATTTATTGTCCTAAACCATAACAAGAATTTAGTTTCTTACATTGCATATTTGACAAAATGTAAATAATGAAAATATTAAATAATGAGAGTTTTAAAAAATGTATCCTGGCATAGCAACGGCCTTAGCTTTCTAACTGTGAGGATGTGTGTAAACTGCACAGCCAGGATTCAAACCAAGACCTGGTGGTCTCAAGGACACAGACTCTTCCTACACATTCCATAGAATGCTTAGCACTATACAGAGTGATAATGCTATGACTAATTTCCAGGAAGAAAACAAAAACCATAACCTCAGAAGCTCCAGTTAAGATAGACAAAAAACATAAACAAACAAGATAGAAATGACTGCTGGGAACTGAAATAGCAGCTGTTGCTAAGTATCCCGGGGCAATTTGTTCCAAGACCCAACTGGGACAGCAAATTCTCAGGATGCTCAAGTTCCTTATACAAAATGATAGAATATTTGCATATAACCTATGCATACCTCCTATATACTTTAGATAATCTCTAGATTACTTATGATACCTAATACAAGGTAAATGCTAGGTTTAGGGAATGACAAGGAAAAAAAGTCTGTATATGGTCAGTATAGATGCATTTTTTTTCTAATATTTTTAATGGCAGCTAGTTGAATCCACAAATATGGAGGCTAATGTATACTTACTCTAGTAAGTAATGAAGAAAATAGGAATGATGATTATGGTGTTTTTGATGCTAGTGGATAATTTACTTCCAAAAGTAAAATAACTAGCTTCAAGTTAATCACTCAGGGTAAGACATTAAGTCATTCTCTACTTCTTTACTTGCCTATAGAGGAAAGATGAAGCCACTCCAATATGATTTCCAGGGAGACTACATCTCTGTCAAACAATGTGAAAAATATTGGGATTATATTTATTGTCTATCAGTAAGGACAAAGTCTCAAAAGCAGTAGCAATCACATTTCCAGATAAAGAAAGTTTCACGATACTGTGTATAAGATTTCAGCTAAAATGCTCATTTACTGAGCTCACTGTTGTCAATGGGCCTGGTAAAGTCAATCTTTTAATATTTAAAATATAATTAAGGTAAAAATATGAAAACTGGAAAATAAAGTTAAATACTGAATAAACCAAGCTCAGTTGTAGTATATGAAAAAATAGAACCATCTTTCCCTTTTCTTTGGCATGAGTGACATAACCAAGAAGATAGACTAGCATGTGGCTCACAAGTCAGAAAGGGCACGGTACTCTCTTACTACTTGAAAGAAGTCTCTTCCCTTTTCCAACTGAAGTCCCAAGATGATTTTTTTTTTTTGAGGGGAAAAAAGGAGAAAATCGCAAAGCATTAGTAGGCCTAAATGTTTCTGTATAAAACAAATGAAAAATGGAGGATTTGGGATGTCTTTTATAAAAATTACAATTAACCATAATAATCTAGTGAACACCAACTCTTTGCAGAGTATTGTATCAGACCTTAATTATACAAAGTAGTGGAAGGGACAAAAAGTATAACCCATGTGAGGCATATAGCCATGTTCACTTATATTCCTAAGAGGCTCAACAAGGCAGATGTCAGAGCACGTGCAGCCCATATCAAATAACCCTACCATGCTCTACCACATCGCAGAAGTTCTAGAGGCAGTATTTAAAAGCAATAATAAAGCATGCAGAAAATAACTTCCTTTACATAGATTTCACATTTTTCAAAGCCTCGTCACAGACATTTTTGCATCTGATCCCCATAGCAACAGTGTGATGTGTATATTTTATGAATGAGCCAGTAAGTGCATCACCTTTAGAATTAGGCTCAGGTAATCTGACAAGAGACTACTACCCTTTCTGGCCAATACATCTGTATTTACTAAATGTGTACAAAATAATATTTAAGAATTTAAAAATTCCCACGTATTTTTAAAAGGCCCAAAGTAGTACTTCTTATCTTTGGGAGAGAACTTAAAAGTATTATTTAATACTAATATTAGAAGAACTAACGTTACTCATGGAAGTAAAGATTGCTTCGTACCATCAGAATGGGGATGATGCAACAGATTGGGCTAACTTAGGTTTCAAAGGAAAAAAGTAAAACTGCATTGTAATTCTCTATATCAGATTAAGTCACCAGTTTCTTAAAATGGAAGGAGGCAAGGCCTTTTTTCACGATGACCAAAGCAAATCTCAATTAGGTACAATAGTCTTTGAATAAGTTTTATTTCCACAGTCTAATAAACTGTTTGTTCATTAAGATATATTCTTAACTTTTAAAGATCTTTGAGTAAAGCAAAGCCAAAACTTGAACAGGGCTGAGTTAGGCTTTAAATTTCATTTTTAGTCATCATATGACCATACCACATACAGTGGCTGACGCATCTTGATTCTGGCTGATCTAATCACAGGGCTAAGCACCACCTTCTGCTATCTTGTATATTCCTATTGTTACAATGACTCCATTATTTCATGTCTGCTATTCTTTTCTAATGCACATTTTAATTATAATTTGCTAAGCAATCCTAAAACAAATTTACTCTTAGGGGATCTGCACGGGGTAAAATCATCATAAAGCATAATATCGTAATAAAAACAAATGGCAATGCTTGTGCCATGGCCAGGATATGGGGCAAGAGAAAAAAGAACATCATAATAGATAAATCAGTCCCTCAGTTGTTGGCTTATAATTTAGAAAGGGAGATAGTGAGCAACTGTAAAAGATATGACACATCTTAGGAAATGCTGGGTGCAAAGAAACTCATAATAGAAAGACTGAACCTTAATTTGTTAAATGAAAACAGAAACCTAAGCAAATGTAAAGAGGTGGGGGAGTAGGCGAAGGGAACAGGGAACGCAAGTGTACAAGGCAGAGGCTAGGTTTGATAGTAAGCACAGTGCAAGTGAGAGAGCGAAGGATATATTAAAAGAGGAATATATTAAAAGATAAGGCAAGGGAGGTTATTCAGAACCCAGTCGGTGTTTGGCTTTGCTTATCACATTAGAGGACCAGGTTTACCCTGAGGGCAAAGAACCAGCTTTCTAGATTTTTCTGTTGCAAAAAATGGTCTGGAGAGGAGGAGGGAGGCTGATGCAGTTAGGTGAGTCTAAGGCGACTTGCAATCAGGAATGAAGGGGCATGCGCAGCCCTGGCAGACATGTTGGAGGCCAAGGCCAGGTGGCTACCTGCCAAAGGAATAGGACAGGTGAGAGGTGGCCTAGGAGAAGCACAGTTCTTCGGTACCACTTACCCGGGCAGAGGCAGCTGCTCAAGTCAGGTCTGAGAAAAGATCCACTAAGAACAAGAGAGACAGGTGTGAAAAAGGCCCTAGGGGATTTCAAAGTGGCTTCCTCCAGTAACTGTGACCCTGGATACAAACAGAAAGAGCTGAAGTCTTCATGCAAGCCTTTAGCTCTGAAAAGGAACGCAGTTGTTGCTTACAAATAGCTCCCTGGAAGAACTGAAAGCACAGTGACCCTAGAAAAGTCTAAGCCCTTAGACTGAGAAGGCAGCAGAGGTCAGACACTCAGGTGCTAAGGGAAGGCACAGCGCCAAGGGCCAGACCCTGACAGCAGCGGGTCGGCCTGCAGCCCCGGGGCGGAGGTTTGTGAAGCCGCTCCACGCGCCTCCCTGGCCAATCCACCCCTCGGCCTGTGGTTCCAGTCGCAGTCCCACCCCATATCCTGAGGCCTCGGGCATCCCATTCCCAACTCTGTGGTCCGTCCTCGGGGCCTCGGGGCCTCGGGCCCAGCCAGCCGGTAGCACGCCCCGTTCCCAGCTCGGTGTCCGAGAGTTTCTCGCTCCCAGGCCCGGCCTCCTTTGCCGAGGCCCCGCACCCGGACCAGGCGTCTCGCTACGCCGCCCTCAGGGCTCGCCCAGAAACCCTCAGCAGAGCAAAACAAAGGCTGTCTCCAGGACAGTCTCCTCTCCACCCCCCTCCGTCTCCTCGCAGCAGCTGCTAACGGGGCAGGTCCCCAGGACAGGCACTTATCTCGGGAGAACGGAGGGAGCAGGCCCATGGCTGGCGGCGCAGGACCGAGAAGAGGCTTGGAGACACTCACCGTACAGCCTCCGCAGCCTCCAACCGGCAGAACCCACCGCTCCGCTCCACCCGGCGCCAGCAAGCTTTC